ATATCCTAGCGACTGAAACATGAGGCGGCCTGGTGCAGCACATTCAGTTGTTTGAAAACACCACAAAAAAGAGATTCAGCTGGGTTCCAAGTGAGCCTCTCGAAAGACCAAATTAGTTTGCAAATGGGTGTGCATTCGCTGATTTTTCTATGTTTGAAGTAATCAACTTCAAGAAAACAGGCATTAGATTTGCGAAAAATGGAGTCAGACTAAATGCTATTTGAATTACATAATTCTGTTTCTAGTTCTCTTCTTGCTTTTCATAGGAAGCAAATTTCCCGCCATTCCGCTTCGGATCTGTGTTACCTCGAGTTCTGAGAGTTGGGTATTTGGCGAAGGCAACAAAAAGCTTTCCCTAGTTTTGATGGTCTGTCAGTTAGCAATGCATTCAAGTTAAAGTCATCTTTTCGACACTCCAGAAATCAAACGTTACGTTGTCCTGCAGATTGAGCAATCATCAGGCAGTGGTAGTACTGCGATTTAAACAACTAGCTTTTAATATTCTGCTTTTGGTTAATCACATTGTGCCATTCAACTAAATGAAGGAGATTGCTCTTCAGGGTAATGCGTAAACGGGACAGAGGATTGTCCATTTCACTTTTGTGACAGATTTAGATGTTTGGGGGAAAGTTACTTGGTGGTATTTCACGTGAGGCCTAGATAAACGACTGCACAATTTGATTAAAATAGAGTAAAAGCTCAATAGTTATGAAAATAATTCCCTTCACTTAGGTTTATCCCATTCATTTTCCGAAGGGATGGGAACTAATTATAGCGTAAAACTGGGTTCTCTATTGATCAGTTGCACACCGAATATAATCCATTTTATGGACGGGACCGTATTATTTTGCACCTACCCGTAATGAATAGGTTTGTATTTTATGAAATAAGGATGTCTCATAAATCTAGGCATCGTTGATACAAATTCTAGCAAATAAATAGGTTGAAATACTTCCCAATTCAAATTAACTCAGGGTTTTACATAAAAATCTCCAGATGTCAGTAGTCTATGATGCTTACCGATGTTTCAGTATGCGGCGGCGGTAGTCTTGCCTGACCATTAAATTCCACGTATTAATAAATGAGATGAAGCCTGATCTATTGTAAGGTGGTCCGCTGTCCCCATTTGGTTCACTCTCGATCTTACGTCGCTGCTCATTCAGGGAAAACGTGCCCGAAAGGTCGATTTAAGAACAACGACACCATCTATGCAATCTTCCAAAATTACTTATAGAGTGAAAGAAAATGGTAGCAGAAGGTGAGAAGAAAACACTTGCCTATCAATGCCCTGGAAGCTAGCGAAAAATCGGAGGAAGTGTTCCAGAAGTGAGATAAACCCACACAGATTGTCTCGTAGGGAAGCTTTTGTAATTGCTAGCCTACATTGCAGTTGTCAAGTTCATTCTGAGGGAAAAACAGCACGATCGGCTGGAAACCTTATGTATGCATTTATGCCAATGTTGACAGATTATCATTAGTGACATGGGGTAATGATGAGTGAGTAGTACCACGATTTCTGTGGGCTAGACACTAATTAGCAACAGACATTCCTCGGACCAACCTAAAGAAGCCCGCTTCGTAGCTCAATGCAAAATCCGGGACGTTATAAAAACTGGTGCATTTTAAGGGTGCTACTTTTGACATACTCTAGTATAAATTGGTCCGATCACTCAAATTGAAACTTTGCACAGACACGAAATCCTGCGTACTTCAGTCCCTCATGCACGCCCCACTTCGTATGAAGAAGGATACAGGTGACCAATCATCCATAGTTTGAAACTTTCCTCACTCTACAGACGGTGGGTTTCTTAGCAATTGATATACAGGTCTCTTTTGTTCATACTGACACTTGTTCGGGTATTTGAAGCGATAGTCACTGGGTTCAGTATCAAAATGATATACAGGATTTTGATCACCTGTTCACAACTTCACTGACAGGCAGAATCATCACGCTGAACACCAGGATATAAGCTTTTTGTCACTTGAGGCAGAATCACAGACAAAGTAGACTTTCAAAGATGCAATTTATTGAGCAACACAAGATGAACACTCAACACGATATGGCTACCTACCTACCTACCTACCCCTGCATAGAGCTTCACTAATATCAATCTGTCCTTCTGGGTTTTAAATTTACCTTGAGACCAAAAAGGGATATACGGTTTGTGAGAACGATAATGCCGTCCCAATTTAGGATGTCTATAGTGTGCCATAAAAACTGATGCTTAAATTTACTTCCGGTTTCTTCTCAGCTTTGCCCACTTTTTCTACTCAATCACCGATCGAGTGTTTAACACCGTTTGGGTTGCTTTGAGATAAAACCGTGTTTAGTAAACCCCACTTCCAGACATTCCGTTCACTTGGTGAAACCTGGCCTTGGCCCTCAGAACACCTAGTTCTGGGGTGCTTACCCATTCCATGAAAAAGTTTGGTACTAAAATACATACGGCTGTCATCCCAACTACCTCCCCGAAAGCTATTTCGTTGATTTTTGTCCGGGTATTTCGGAATCGCACTTCATTAACTGTTGTGCTTTGGGAATCATTTTCCAACTGTTCTTAAAGGGAAGTGATAATATCACCTGCCCTGCAGAGTCGTATACCACATATGTACGGGGGTATTTTGTTCAAATCCGTGAGGGGATGTTGGAATGCAAATTAAGAGGAATTTAGGTGAATGCAGTCATTTGCATACCTATCTGGGTTTTTTTGGTCGATCACCTTAAACCAAGCTGAATCTCTCGTTAGTGGATCCATGAAAGCCGATGACTATCGCATGCACCGGCAAAAGTCTACAAGATCCCCCAGGAGGGATCCCATTTCATGCTGGTCGGCATCAAGCTCGGAATCTCGATCCAATACAAAGAATCCAGACAAATTCGTCCTCTTTTACAAACAAATTCAGGCACATTCACAGCGATTAATTGTAAGCGGCCGTGAGTAGTAAACATATAATGGGTAAAATAACCTTCAGATGGGACGGCGTCTCAGAGGAAGTACAAGAAAATCGCCTGCTTCCACCTCTGTTATAAATAACTTGCCCAAAAATGAGGACACAATCTGTTCTTTGGGAACGGTTTGCTTCAGTGACAGTGCCAATCCCCAGGAAACGATAAGTCACAGGTTGGATCAATAGAACAGTACAACATCAAACCGGGTTTATCTTGGAAGTTGTGCGAACCATTTACTTGAAACACCTATGGTTATTTTCAACTATCTATTGTTATGTCGTATGATTTCTCGCCGAACGTGACTCTTTTGAAAACGAGCCACTGTAAACAATCCTTCTGGTTGATGGTGAGTCTCGAAAGTATGTACATATTATTATAGCGTAATACCCATTGATGAAAACCTGCTCCATATATGCCGGTTTTCGATGAATTTTAAGGCCGTCCTGTAACCAGTGCCCTTCAAATTCACTACTGATTGGCTAATTCAGGGGGCATCGGAACTGAATCCTATTGTCCATTTTAGTTTGCAAACTTGGATACCAGTATAGGAATAGATCATCAAAATCCTCGTGTTACACAACTAGTTATAAGGTAGTTAGCATACGCTGGATAATCTGTGTAGAACTACGTGGGACTAAAATCGGTACAACATAGGCAGTGGAGAATTAGAAACAGCCAGAGCATTTGAGTACTAGCAATAAGCCATTGCGGAAACCAACGCCGGACTGTTGAGCATGCATTCATGCAGCTGAACGACGCACTGCGGAAAGTGGCCAGAATGTCTGTGCACAAAACTCTGGATACTCAACGCGGCGGTTCGGCGTCAGTCCCGATTCGCATCTGCGGTCCGGGTGGATGATGTCCAGAAGTTAGGAATTCCTAACCATTTGTGTCCTCAAAAGATACTAAAAGTTCGTTGCCTGAAGAAAGTGCCCAAATATAAGATATGGAACTGTCTCTAAGGTCTAACACGTTTATCGTAGATTAACCAACGAAAACGGTTCGGGTGTCCGCTACAAAAGAATGATCGTAAAGTTCCCAAACAAAACAAGTCAAGAACGGTGCAAAATTTCGAGCTCCTTCTCGTTTCAAAAATCATTGCGTAGTATTCGTTACATTGGTGCACTACTAGCTTGGAAATGACCAGATCTCCACTGAGAGAAACAACAGTGCATTCTGCCACCCAGGCTGAAAACCAACGTTTCGGGACAGTTTCGCATCTGCTTATTATCGTCTCCAAATGGAGCATCTTTAAACGGTAGGAAAAACAGAACTGTGCAGATTTGGTTAACCTTGTATGGAAATCAAACCCCCTGAGCAACTTATTATCTTCCTACATATCTTTAAACAACACTTTTACCTGGGGAAAGTGCGTCTTCAACCTGCGAAGCCACCTTTACAAGGTAATGTTGATGGCAATCGAAGAAAACAACCAAAATTCAGAATTCACACACTTTCTGTCTCTAACAGTGGACAGTTTTCTGCAAGTACCCATCTAGGCCTCCCGTCCATGAAACCACTGGAAAACTAAACCCCCCCCCCAACTCTCACGTTGAAGATACCGGCAAGTTAGGTTGAATATAATTTCAATTAGTAAAAATAAGACTGTGTCTGCGGTGAAAAGAAGTTTGGCATATCATCAACTTGTGATGTCCTCCCCAAGTTTCTGCTCAATTTTCGCGACGGAAATATTAGCTGAATGCCATTTGATTTTATCCGAAAGGCCTTCTAAGACATTGCAGTGACTTCACCTAGTTCTACAATCAAGATACACAACACAGCGCATATACGGAACCTTATTTACCCAACCTGAATGTCCATCGAGACTTTATGCATGACCATTATGTTTCCATTTTATCCACCCTCGAAGATTGAACGAGATGAAAAAAGCGGCTGGAGGCTTTGTACCATAGATGTTCAAAGGCCATTTACCTGCACTTTGGTCAGCTGAAATTGACAGATCATTTTTCGTTCCTTTGCAGGACTAACCACGGGTAATTCTTCTGACAGTGACACGACCATCACCATACAGAACGCTATATCACCAAACATGGAAGACTTCGACATGTACGACTCTTTCTACGGCACACATATATTTGGTGGGCGTTACCATGATGAACTTCGACCAAGTTCGCTAACCCGTGTGCCTAATCTTCGAATGAACCTGTCAAATATCGATCCACTGGTTCACCAGAGGAGTTCGAGCAGTCTGTCCGGACGTATTGCAAAGGTCGACAGTTCAAGAGGTGTTCAAGAATCTCACCATTCGCTGAGTCATTCACAATACCGTCCACTACACAAGACGCTTGCGAGTTCTCATGGTCGAGAGACAATTTTCTCACCTCCACCGCTACCCACAAGAAGGTATGCAAGGATAAAACCTGACGAGACATTTAAGAAAACGCAATACACCTCAGAAACTGAAATGCGATTGCAGGACATAAAATTTCCTAGAAATATAGATTACCCTACCTGGACCAACGTGTACTATCCCGACCTACATATGACTGATAAAAGAGAAACGACCCATAAGAAATACAAAGCACATCAAGCATTCAGAGGCCGGTCAGATGAAATGAGATTTAAACGGGATGATGATATGTTTGGTCTAGCAGACACCGGCCACCAGTCTGCGGAAGAAGATTCCACTGGTCAGTACCGAACAGTACTCTACGTAGTACCCACCTCTCCAAAGTCACAAAGTCCGTCTCATTTGATGCCTTCAAGCCCCGAACTCACGAAGACAAAGTTACCGAATTTTTCTCGTCCAAGAGCCTTTAACAAAAACGGAAATAGGTATATCGACTTTGACTCTAGTGAGGTTCCAGTAAAACCAAAATCCACAAAGGAGTGGCACAAATCGGACAACAGCGGTTCTTCTACAGACGGTGGCTCTTTTGTGGATGATGGCTTCTCCTCAGATCAGAACATACCCTATGAACCTCCCAAGTCGAAGATTATCTTCCAGGGACCTGGTCGCTACTTGGAAACAAAGGTCTACTGTAAGACAATACCGACGCCACAATCGATGGAAGTTGCAAAAAAAATCAATGGGCTACATAATGCGAGCAGCACTCCAGATAACCCAGTATCACCATTACATAATCCTCTGAGGGTTATCAGAAATGATTATAATCAGGTTGTTGTGGACATAAAACCCCGGCACTTGAATGAAGCAGATAAGCAACAACATGTGAGTCAGTGGATACAAGTCGGAACTCTTGGCGATACGGTGCAGTCAAAAATGGATAGAAACGAAGCAGTCGCCGACGAAACTGACAAATTAGATCTCATTTACGTGGAAGATGGTGCTGATGACGTGGATGTGAATGGTCCGCATGATGGAAATAAATTTGTAAACAAAACTTCTAACAGCTGTACATTGAACGTTGAAATGAGCCCAAATCGCCAAAAATCAGACTGGTTTGCATGTCCACCCATAGACACAACAAGTAAGCCTAAGATAGATATGACACCATTAAGTCCGCAAGCGCAGAGCACATCCGAACATGCGCGAACTAACCCGCTGGATAACAACAGGGTTATAAAAGTATGCCGATCTTCCAATAAACAATCAACTGAGTTGTCTTCTCTCGTAAACGAAGAGAAAACCGATATTTCAGGTCCGCGTACACAAGAAAATCATCATCTATCGTTTAAAAGGACTTTTTCGCCGATATCCGACAATAGTACACCTGTGAATATCGAATCTCCCAGAGTTATTGCACTTACGTATGGACGAACTGACGTTACCCGTGAAAACGAGTCGATCACCTGTCAGAACAATAAAATAAAACCAGAAGTAGCTCCTAAACCATTGCCAGATCAAAAACTCAGAGCTGTCTTAGAAAAACAGACGGAAGCATCCACGTTTCCTGAGCTGCAACAGGCGACCAACAGAACCACCGGTCGGTACCCCAACCATTCATCTCAAGTTGAGTACATGCCCGGAGCAAACCCTAACACACTAGCCTCAAAACCTATCCAGGAAAAACTAAAAGATGATAAGTCCGAAGCAGTCAGAATGGAGGATACTCCGACCCAGAAAGTTCGTAATTTGGCTGCATATTTCACAAACATTATCAATAAGAATAAAAGTGAATCCGAGTTCAACAGCTTACGACGAATGCGTGTGCGTGACTCACTACATAATGATGCCACAAATGAAACTGACATTCCTACATGCAGTTCACCATTTTTCCGAAATGAAACACCTGAGGATAGAGAGCGTCGCTTGCGAGCTGTGGACGCCCTTAGACATCGTACACTACCACAGCGAACTGTTGACTACACACGGTCCGGGTCAGTTAACAATACAAAATCTTTTTTTGACAGTGCTTGCGAGGATTACTACCCTTACGTTAGACCTTCCTCCGCCCCACGTCCTCGACCAAGATGTATCACCACAAACATTACCAGGAGTTCAGCTAACCTTAATTAACAGTGAAGTGTCCAACCTTTTTACACAATCCTTCCATATATCCTGCACATTATTCTTCCGCTTCTCTCAGGCGGTTTGTGGATATGTAGCTTCATTTTCGATCTTCTTTCGTTGCACTCTGATCTTTAACCTTTCGGTGCATGCTGATAAGCAAAAAGTTGGTTGCTCAACTTTTTGTGGATGGGTACGCAGCGGTTTACTCCTTGTCATTCTTAAAGTCATGCAGACATCCCACAGTCTTTCTTGATTGCTTTCGTACCTTCCTTCGATAAACCGGTCATGCGCCAGGAGTCGCATCAAATTCCTGGATACTAAAGATGTGTATAGAACAATGGTTTGCACACGACTGCAGATTTCCAGATATGGAGTGTGAACAGTCTGAAACTTTCACTCTGAGAACTCTTGAGCGCAATAACATCAAGTATATAAGCTTGAAAAGTACACTACGGGCTGTGCATGAAAAGTAAACATTATCTTGAAGCAGGTGATCGGGAAATCTTTTTGAACTGACAAGAATGGACGCTTGGGTGGAAGTAACCTATGTTGCCAGGTTGTTAAATGCACCATAAAGCTCTATTCGTTTAGGTCGGTAAGTACTTCGCACTGGTAAAGTCCAGCTCCATTGAACAAAATTTCTATGGCTTTGTGAGCAAACTGCTCAACAGCTCTTGTGTTGGATGCATTTTCAATACCGTTCATGAGGAAGCTGTAGTGCTTCTCCAGTATGTCTTAACCGCCAGTCGTGTGGCCGAACGCATCCTCACAACGAGGGACAAGACCATTGAGCAAACTATTCTACAGGTAAAAAAAATCCACCGGAAAATTTTTCACATACCCTGATTATAAACACTTCCATAAACCTCTCACCGGTGTGACAGACACCGATTCCCGTAAAAACAGAACGTGCTGTTTATCAATTAACGCTAGTAACTTCTGATAGGTGATATATTGGCATTAAGTTTTTCTCTTCGTAAGTCCAACAGACGTGTGTGTTCTGTACAGCCGCATTGTCGAGCTGAGAGCCCGATCACCCTGAAGTCCATATGCAGCTTTGATCAAACGCACACTCCTTTGCCTAAATTAGATTGGTTTTGTACCACATCGTTTTCAGGGGTAGCTTATACCGGGATAGTCTGCATAAATAGGCCCATCCTCAGATACTGGAACGTCATACGTTATACCAGGACTACACTATTAAGAAATCCACACACAGTCACGGGTGAATAGGCTTTGAATACACTGTGAATGATGGAATTTTTAAGAGAACGCTTAGCACGGGTTTGGGCGGTGGCAAAGGACCATGGAGGGGCTACCAAGTAGTCACATATAAATGCGACGGTTTTTGCTGAAGAGCCTGTATTCAGGATTAAGTCTTCTAGAACCAGCTGGAACGAGTGTGACCCATCGATCTGTAAGCCTATAGACAAGCGTAGGCGACAATCGCTACCAACTGACCAATTGCTTCGAGGCAATTTGGTCTGGTCAGCTATCCACATTAACTTCAACGGTGTGGGAGCTAAATTAATCAGATATTTGCACTAAACTCACAATAAACTTTCAGAAACGTATGTCTTGACGGACGGATTAATTAAATTCTACATTCTGTTACCATTTTGATGCAACAAATCCTTCGAAATCTGGGCACAAGATTACTTCAACCACGCCTTTATAAACAAGGACTAAAATCTTCTGACCTTAGGCTTGTTGACCGAGACTAGTCTCTAGATAGCAAACGTTTCGTCATCAGTTAGGGAAACACGATCACGGCGCACAATTGCAAGTCGACAATGCATTCTAGCTATCTAAATTTCGCAAATTTGCTGACTTCATCTACCTGAACTTTCAGGAAAAACACTTGTCTCACTGCAATGCAAGCGAATATATACTGAGGTTGATAAAAAGCACGGGTCATTAGGAACATTAGCCTGGAAACAGACAAAACTTAAGATCCCAACATCATCAGAATAAAAGATAACATCGGAGTGGTATGCAAAGATGCAGAATGGACAGTAATACTCTTGCCTTATTGTGACGGTTTTCAGTTTCTTCTTGCTAAGTTTTTAGAGTTCTAGTTGGCTTAGCTAAAATATTTGTCAGAATAGTTTATTTTTATATTTTGGTTTTTACTAGGACCAAGGGATTTAGGGATATACTAATCCACCGTGTATACGTGGACCGCATGTACAGTTGTGTGGTCTTGTATGATGCTTGATACGTACAGAAATAAAGCAGAGGGTTATAGATTATGTTCCCCAAAGCCAACATAGACGAGGGACTGTTCTGTGGACTGATGTTGTGTGTAACCACCCGTAAGTCATTTCGTGAAAATAAATATGTCTACTGGATAAAGGTGTAGGCATTGGCTCCGTCGTATGCCTCTATATTCTCAGAGTTTAAAACCGTGCTCGAGCCTGTAACTATGGTGAAAAGAATTAGAATTACTTTGAAGAGTTGTTTTCGTGCGGGGAATCAGTAATATACACCTCATGAACTTGAAGGAATGTCCGCACCCATAGCCTTACGGTTAAATGTTTTAGATCACTAAAATTTTAACAATAAATGGCTGGTCAGTAACGTGGTTTTCTTGGGTTTAAATCTCTCGTCCTGCAATCACACAAGTGGTGTTATGTGATCCATCTGGGCTCAGTTCTCCAAGTAATTACTTGTCAAACGGCCCGTTGTGAATTGTGGGGTGTTCATATTATGTACGTTTTGTTAGTGATAGTCACTGACTAGATGTTTCTCAGAAATGTATAGTGAGTTGTTTTAACAAGCTAGTGCAGCTCAAAATTCGCAATGTGTGATGCGGTTCCACTACTTCGGCCAGCTGCGGCAAACAAATGTTACGGCCTTTTCAACATTTCATTAGTCTGCAGTAGCTGAATGTTGAGTTTTCCGCAGATGTTCCGGGAAAACCAGACGAACTAGTGTTGAAGACCAAAAAGTAGAGTTCAGTCAATTCAAGCTGGCTTGGAATCGCCTCAAGACTCGGCTGCTTTGACGGACTGGTTACTAATCGGAATATATACTGTTAGTACGGAAAGTCCGCATCTTTTACAGAATGTGCCACCAATATCTGCAATCCAATCGCCACAGTGGGCACGGATTTGACCGCCAAAAAAGACCGATAGATCACCTTGTAGCAAATACCTTCATTGCGAACGCAGACACTGTGTTGTGCCCTCATTTCCAAGCATCCAGTGTCGAGTTCAGCTTACTGTGAGAAGAGCAGTATGACAGGGGCCTGCTGAAAATCGGTCGTACGGTGGAAACAGATCTATGTGTACCAAGGCAACTGTGCACCTGGACAGGGCTTGACGGTGCCTCCACTGTGCTGACTGGTCACAAGGTCAGTCACAGATGACACAAGCGGTGAGGTGACGAGCCTAGGTTGCAGCTCGCACGACGCCCCAGCATCGCGCACTCAAGATGGGAGGTCTTTTACGGTACAGCGAGTTCGAATACAGACATTTAAGCTGTATGGTGGTGCGTGTTTTGGGCAGTGTGGTTAAGAGGGTAATGGGGTTGCGCTCTATCCCGATACATCAACCAAGTTATGAGGTATGACCAATGGTAGAAACGAACGTTCCAAAACTTCTGGTGAGATAATGAGATGCAGACATGTCCCTATAGTGGGAGCATGGGTGGTTGCCCACGAAACAGATTAGGAAGTCGCATTGAGACACCTGCAATTAATGCAAAAGTGGGTCAATTAACAATATGCACTGCAACGTCGTGCACGGAAGCTAAATTCGGGTATGTTTCAACTTCACCAGTGGCGATGGGAACATTTAGAAAGGTGACATATTTTCCACCCTGGCACTCGGACCAGTTTATACTTGAATAATGAGGCTTTACATCTAGATTTCAGGGCAGTTTGAAGCTACGTCGTTACGCGTTCTCTTGAATCAAACAACAGGCCAAGTTGATGTTTTGACCAAATATTCGGGCATCAAAACAATGAGATCATTTTTTTGGATGACGTTACCTGTAGGAGCCGCTATTGGAGTGTGAATGCTATCAAAAGTGGCCTTATCGTGCGAGCAACTGCTAAAACGGGCGCTCCCAAGTCTGGTACAAATGAGTTCAATTAATGCTGTTTGATTTAAATTCCGAAGCATGAATCAGGTGAATCAGGAGTGGAGGGCGCCTGTCTTGTACAAATCAAATCCCATGGACAACTTCCGTACCTACGAGAATGGATCACAGAAACTTTTTGACTGAGAGTAAAAAACAGCACCCATACTACCGCAGCGAAAATGATGGCAAGTTGTCCCAAGTACCTGAAGATCGATTGAACAACCAAGGAATCACCCGAAACCTCTATTTAACTAAGCAAGTTGTCATTCTGAATGAGTGTCAACTGCGTAATTCTCTCATTTTCTCTCTCCAAGGGAGGCGAAATATTCAGTACCGTAATTCACATCGTACCTAACTATAGACTCGGTGGGCACGCAATGTAGAGTCGACATTTTTTACAAAATTTTGACTTTATTGTTTTTTCACCCCATAGAGATGGACCAGGTGGTTAGAGCGCGATTTTACTGACCGGAAGGTCCGTGGTTCGAACCTGACCTCTGCCACTCGACTTCCGCTGTCTAGGCTTGGGCAACCTGGCAGTATCCCAGCCCTCGTGCCTCCTTCGGGTAGCATGGCAGCTAGGCACTGAAAGGGTGCTACAGCTGGACCATCACCCCACATTTTACACAGGACACTCAAGTTTCCAAGACATCCTTTCAAGCAAGCTCCGTCTCCGAAACTATTGTCGATATCGATCGGTACGCACAAAAATCATGCATGTATTCTGAGAACTGCAAAATGTTCATTAGAACAGATATGCATAAAAACTAGCTTTTACAAGTCGGGTGAAGGACAATATTCCCCATTTCGTTAACCTTGGCGGATAGAGAAACCACTCGTGCCTACAGCGATGTTGGAACAAGCATAAGGTACGCATCAGTAGACGTTATTGATAAACATCCTGACTGGCAAACCCTATT